ATTTTCTTCACAAATTTTTCAAATGTTGCAGTCAGTAATGTCTTGGTTAATATATCTGCTAAATTATTATCTGATCGAATTTGCTGAACATTAATTTAACCATTCTGTTGGTGAAATATGTTTCGTTCTATCTCTTTTAATGTAACCACATTTTAATTGCGCTATACCAGCTATATTATTTTCATACAATGTAGTTGGGAAAATTTTATCGTCAGGTATTAATCTGCAATTTTTCAAAATATGTTGAGTCATTGACCTTAATCAAAGACATTCTCGACTAGCTTCATGTATTGCCAATATTTCAGCATGATTTGAAGAAGGGATAGTTAAAGTTTGTTTTATCGATCTCCAAGAGATCACTATTTCGCCACAAGTGAATACATAGTCAGTTTGAGACTTGGCTATATGAGGATCAGACAAATATCCTGCATCGGCAAAACCAATCAATTTATGTCAAGACTCTTTCGAGTAAAATAACCCGAGATCAATTGTTCCTTGGAGATACCGAAAAATATGCTTAATCCCGTTCCAATGTCGTCGAGTAGGCGATGAACTGAATCTTCTCAATAATTTACAGCAAATGATATATCAGGTCGGGTGTTGTTGGCAAGATACATTAATGCACCTACAACACTCAAATATGGCACTCAAGGCCAACCGTTTCTTCGTTTTCTTCTTTTGGTCTAAAAAGATCCTTTGTTGGATCGAGTGCTCTGACGATCATTGGGGTACTTAGCGGGTGTGATTTATCCATCAGGAACTGTTTCAGTACCCTTTTGGTATAATCTGATTGGTGGATGAATATTCCACTTTCCAAGTGCTCAATGTTCAAACCAAGGCAAAATTTTGTTATTCCAAAATCTTTGATCTCAAACTCTTTTTTCAGATATTCATCAGCTTTCTGGATTTCATCAGGAGTTCCGATTAAATTAAGATCATCGACATATACATCCATGATTACAAATCCTGGACCATTTTTCTTTATGAAAACACATGGACAGATATGGTTATTTATGTAACTTTCTTTTATTAGGCTTTTGCTAAGACAATTGTATCACATTCGGCCTGATTGCTTGAACCTATACAAAGATTTATGCAATTTGATGGAATCTGATTCTTTAGGATTTTATTTGAATGATTCAGGTATGTTAAACCCTTATGGGTTTTCATATAGACATCATTGTCTAAGAAGCCGTAAAGATAGACAGTAACCAAATCTATTAATCCCATGTCTAGATTTTCGCGTACAGTCAGGCTCGCCAGATACCTGAATGTTATTCCATCTATGACCGGTGAATATGTTTCTCCAAAATTAATGTTCGGTCTTTGGGAAAAACCCTGGGCTACAAGCCTTACTTTATATCTTGTGATATCATTATTATTTTTTTCTCACAAACACCCACCTGTAGCCAACAGGTTTTACATTTGTAGGTGTTTGGACTATAGAGCCAAATACTTGTCGTTTATTTAATGAGTCCAATTAAGATTGAATTACGTCTTTCCATTTTGCCCAATCATCTCTTTGCCGACATTCATCAACTGATTTTGGTTCATAATCCTCGTCATCTTTCATTATGTCGAGTGCCACAGAATATGCAAATGTATTATCAACATTTGTTTTCTTTATGTTCCAATATTTTCCACTAGTGGTATAGTTAACAGAAGTTTCAATAACTTCATCATCACTTTTATCAGAATTTTTAGTATCAACCTCTTCAAGGGTTGTACTGACCTTTTTAGGCATCTGATCATTGTTGATCTCTTAACCAATATTTACAATTTTCTTCTTTCGTGGATTCTTATCCTTGGAACCCAACGGTCTGCAACGTTTTACGCGGGCAGTATGCTCATTAGCACTCGACACCTTACCTTCCATGATATTTATTTTAGCTGGTGCATTTACTGCTGCAATATATGATTTCGTAACTCAGGCAGCATCATTAAAAGCATCAGATAATTGATTTGTAATTTTCTACAAATACACAATTCTTTGAACTTCAAATATCACTATGTTCCGTATGATGATCAAATTCAAGTGGTATTTTCCACGTAATTTCTTTTTTCAATTGATTACTGTCTCCCCATAATGTCGGAAAATGAGATTCATCAAAGTGACAGTCTGCGGACCTTACAGTAAATAAATCACTCGTTGTTGGTTCAAGATATTTCACAATCAAGGGTGATTGATACCCGACATATATACCCAACCTTGTTTGATGTCTCATTTTCGTGCGTTGAGGCGGCGCACTTGGCATATAAATAGCACACACAAAAATTCGTATGTGAGATATATTTGGTACTTTTCCAGATACCAATTGAGCAGGGGAATAACAGTGATAACTTGTCGACCTTATTTTCACGAGGGTTGTTGCATGCAATATAGCATGTCCCCAACATGATACGGAAAGTTTAGACCTCATTAACAATGGTCTAACAATTAATTGCAATATTTTGATAAGAGATTCAGCGAGACCATTAATTGTAATTAATGGTCTAACAATTAATTACATGGGGAACATGATGTTCCACAGTAATTTCAATTGACATGCAGTAATCATCAAATGTATGTGATGTATACTCTCCAGCATTATCTAGACTTATTTTCTTTATCGGGTGACCTAAAAATTGTGCTTGCAATTTAATTATTTGTGCAAGTAGTCTAGCAAAAGCTAGATTGTGAGTAGATAAGAAACATACGTATGACCATCATGTTGACGCGTCAATTAGTACCATAAAGTACTTGAATGGTCCACACGGTGGATCTATTGGTCCACAAATATCACCAGTTCTTTCTAGAGTAATTGGGGATTCAAATCCAACTTTGTTGGAGATGGCCTGATTATTAACTTCCCTTGGGAACAGACAGCACAAACAAATTAATTCGAACTCAAATTTATTTTTTTTCAATAAGTGGTCATTTGAATTTTCAACAATTCGTCTCAGTATTACATTGCCAGGATGTCCAAGTTAATCGTGCCAAGTTTTAAATTCGCTAGTAGCCATTTGGTATACTAGGTAATATGTTTCAACGGAACTAACTTTTGACTAATACAAATCGGAAGAAAATGATGACATTTTTTTTTTCACAATTCTTTTGTCATTTTACAATCTGCGTTATCAGAAAATACTTATTTTCTGTCTCATTCAATGTTTAAAACACATTAAAATTTTTCTTGCCATATATTTCATTTAATTGGACACATGGCCAAAATAAATAAAGAGGAGGAATGCTGGGCAGAGCAGCGCTGCTTCAAGTTGTAATTTTGCTTTGATTTTTTTTTTTTTTTAATAAAAGTTGACATGGGGATTTTCTCCACAGTAGAGAAACTTACAATGATCCGATTTAAAAAATCCCTACTCACTTTGAGAAAAAAAAATGAAAAAAAGCAAAACACAAAACCTTATTTTTGGTCTAGCTTCCCGAATTTCACAGAGCTTCACAAAGCTTCATCGGAGAAAAACAAAAGTCTCGCTGGATCACGAGAGGAAATTGTATATTTGTAAGAGAAAAATTATTTATGAATAATAGAATTTTAGGCAAAATGTTTTAAAACAACATATCATATAAATTTTTATATTTGAATTAAAAATTGATACATTTTAATTATATTAAGATTACTATTGATTTTTTTCATTTTAATTATAAACTATTTTAAATTCAAAATATTTTTTTTTTTAAAAAAATGTACTCCCTCCGTTCCGTAGAAAGATTGTCGTTTACTTTTTGCACGTAAATTTTTTAATATCAGTATTATATTGAGTTAGAGTGAAAATTACAAAAATACCGTTATTAGTATTGTGTAATATAAAAGTAATGATATTTGTGCAATATAGTGTAAATTTGGAGGGTATTTATTATGTTAGGTATGTAGTACAATTACTAAATTAGAAAATTGTAACCTTGTTTTGGGACGGAAAAAAATGGAAAATGACAACATTTCAATGGTACGGAGGGAGTATAACAAAATAAAATAAAATTTTAGACTAAACCAAAAAAATACACAGCTGTGTAGAATTAAATATGGTCATATATAATTGTACACTGAAATATACATGGTTGTGTAACGACATCACCGTGTATAATTGTACTGTAACGACATCACCGTGTATAATTGTACACTGAAATATACATGGTTGTGTAACGACATGATCGTGTATAATTGTACATAATTGTGTATTTTTCAAATCAGCTGCCACGTCAATTCTGTTACATCCATGTCAGCAATTTCCGTTAGTTTTTTTAAAGGAGACTAAAATTAATTAAAAATATTTATAATTAAACTAAAATTGATTAAAATTATTTATAATAAGATAAATCGATAAATAAATAAATAAATAAATAAAAAATAAAAAATTATATTAAGACCTTATATTAAACTAAAATTGATTTTTTCCCACTAACATTTCTGTAATTAAATTTATTTCATATAGGTATAAAATAAGATTGATTTCTTTGACGTGGAAGTGAAGTGTGAAAAGGGGAGAGAAACTCACATTGGAGGGTTGCTTTGGGGCATTTGTCAAGATTTTCACTACTCGTGAAATTTTTTTCACTAAAAAATATCAAATCAAATATATATTTTTAATTTTTTACATTATATTAAAAATCAATTTTATATTCAAAAATATATTTTTAATTTTTTACATTATATTAAAAATCAATTTTATATTCAAAATATCACAACACCTATTTATATCATATTATACAACTATTTCAATTCAAAAGTGTTACTGTTCAAATTCCAATTCAAAATCCAAACACACCCCTAGATTCTCTCAAATAACTACATCAAATTCATTGAGTCTTTTTGGCAACGCCATGTAATTCAAACCTTCAAAGTTAATTGTAGATTTTTAATCTATTAATGTGTCGTTTAAAATATTTCCTGCAAAAACAATAAACTGTCTTTAAATATTTTAGCTTCAAAGTAATTCAAATCAATTAATTTATAATCCACCTTTAAATCTAAATCTATCCAATCAACTCGGGGCTAAACGAATTGCCAAGATTCTCTCAAACTAGTTGAAAGAACAACCAAACATCGAGTTAATAATTATCCTACGATTTCTTACAAGACATCAGTTTATGTACAAAACATTAAACAGCAAAAGTCCCAAGTTGTATACATACACATATGTATATATATATATATGTATGTATAGCATTATAATATTAAGTGTACCTGCTTCTTTCTTCATCACCTAAATCCACAGCAAACTGGAGAATATAGGTAAGGATGGAGTGAGGCCAAATGATACTCGTCCGCAAGAAAGATCAACACATTGAATATTATGATTTACTCGATCAGCTACAACATATATGCTTGGATGGATCAACGAACATAGATGTAGCAAACGCCATTATCAGCACAAAACACAGAGAGAAGGGCGAGGAGAAGAGAACAACATCAAAAGCTCATTGCTATATTTAATCAGAAGCCGAGCTTTGTTAAGTGAATTCAAATCTTGTTTATATAAGGAACATGAGAAAAAAATTGGTTTGGAAGGAAATCTAATTTGACTGAAATCTGAATTCCTTTAACTAACGCATCACTGAAGCTAAATATCAATAAATGCTAAAGAAACACAAGGCTATGTTTACTTCGTGATTGTTTTTCAGTTTCTGTACCATGAAATTCTCGCGATTTTCTACAAAAATATATTATTTCTTGTCAACTAATTATTTATACCAAACTAAAACAATAAAAATAAATAAATCATCAAATAAACAAACAAAAACACCTATTCTGTTCAAACTTAGGCAGTCGTTTGCTATAGGGCACGCATTCACTTGCTTATGACACTATTTTAATTTTTAACACTACAAAAACCATGGCAAAATTATTTTTCTTGTTGTAAAACATCACATCCAACACTTATATAACATATTTTCATCACACTCACCGCATATTTTCCTTTTTTTTTTTATAAAAAAGTAAAAGAAAAAATCCATCACTTAAATAGCATATGTTCACTTCCCAGTTCCCATTAGTTTTCAATTGAGACATTACATTCAATACATCGTTCTAAACAAAACAAGAAAAATAAATAAATAAATAAATTCAAATGAAAAAAAACACCCAAACTACAAATAATCAGTTAATCACTAATACGATTGGAGTATAAAAGAACTCGAATATCCACTGCCATTCGATATAAAACAATAATAACTATATATAGATTTAAATAAGGTGATCATCTGATATAAGTAATACGCATCTAATTGGGGAACTATATTCAATCTCAAACCCATAAAAATGAGTGAAAAATTAAAGCAGGCAGAGGATAAGAACTTCATTCTTCTCAAAGCTTATTGTGTTTCTTTTCAGCCTGGATTGGATTTGGAGTTTGAATGTGATATTTTGTCGGGAAAAAAGTGTAATTTTTTTCGAAAAATGTGGAGTCTAAATAGTATTAAAACAAAAAAACTATGTAGAGACTCAAAAGGGAACACACGAGGAAATGAAATGTTGTACCTATATGAAGTGCCTTCATAGGGTACTATAGATGTCACCGCCAATACTGAGCCCAGCGGTGAATGGTTTCAACCATTTGTGGGAACAATGCACTGACACTCTCATTGATAAGATCTTGGAAGAAGTTTATGGACTCCTCATCATCTAAATCCAACCGGAACTTTTCTTGAAGCTGCAGAAACAATGTAAACCATTTTGTGGCATGGGAGAGGAAAGAAAAGAACAACAAAAAACAGGGAGATTCATGAGAGTTTTTAACCTTGAGAATGCCTTTTTCAGGATCTGAAGCAATGTCGGGAATGTTAGACCCCGTCATCAAGTGAAACAGGTTGAGTATTAGGTTGCTTGACTTTCTGAGAATATTGTATGCTTCACAGCAATAGGATTTGAACCTGGTGTAGTATTGACTGCAAATGAGATGAGATGGAAGTGAGAACATTAGTGACACTTGAGAAACGAAATGGTTACAGAGAAATCGATATGGTGCAAAAAGAAAGCAATGGAAGAATTGAAGATAAAATCAGACACCTTCCTGCTCCGCCCATAGCTTCAACCATTTCTTTACAGAGTTTCATAGGTGGTGGAAAGGGCTTTGGATCTCGACCAAGTATAAAACCAAAATCGACATGGAAGAGGCGGCCATCTTCTTGTAGCAGCAGATTGTCAAGGTGCCTGTGGACCAGGAAGACCCAAAGCCGGTAAGTCTCATTTGTTAATGACACCAGAATGAAGTTGATGCGATAAGGAAACCACATGCTTAAAAAGCATAAAACATTACTCTATCATCGCATTTCACATACACAAATTTCGTAATCAATATCTTGGTATTCGAAACATATTATGACATGCCAACACTAATGATAACAAAAATGAACATAGAACCAAAACAGAGACTGTCAACAGAGGGAAAGACATATAAATAAAAATCAATTTGGGTAAATCTCATAAAATTGAATCCTTGTACAATTTGGATACTAGAAATCACCTGTCACCAATGCCGAGAATGTATGTGATAACAGAATAACCAGCGCAGCTTTTTATAAATGTTTCCAGACAGGTTGCAGTTATTCCAAAAGGCCCATCTTCATCAGGATGAAATCTCTGCAAGTAGCTTGTAATACTTCGATGCTCAGATAGAATCTGAAAGTACAAAGAGAGATATGGGTGTGTTTAATGCCACTGATATCGATTTGATAAACACCTCAGAAAGTCCTCAACAGGAACAAAAATGCCAATGTAAGATCCTTTGCCGGATAACCTACCTGCGCTAAAGGCTTAGATGGAATGAATTCCATCATCCCTTCATCATGTCCTGTTGCTAGCACAGTGTAAGGAGTTAAATGCAGGTCGAGATTCTCCAACTTGAGCAGTCGATCCATTAATGACACCATTTGAATAACCTGGTTTTAAACAGAGATATTACAAAAGTGATTCTCAAAGAATAAATGTATACAGCAATAAACGCATAATAAAGCGCATACCAACTGGTCTTGCCTAAGGTCATCGCCCTTCTTAAATATGACCTTGCAAGTGCCACCATTTGCTGTTCGGAAAGCCAAACGCAGAGGATGCAATGCACTTTTAAAAATTGATGATTCTGATGGTATGATGCCTGTTATGAGGATCCTTGGTGCCAGTGGTGAACGTATAGGCTGAAATAAATGCTATAAATTTATGGACCAAGCATAACATGAATTGGACAAGGCTATCACTATGCTGGAAATACCTCATCAAAGTAGGTAAGTTCACTAAGAAGCCCGGACAGAAGATGCCTAAGTTTTTCGATCTTTTTTTGAGTTCCGCCCTTCACATTTCTCACATCTCTCATTATTGAACACAACTGAGCAGTCAATTCTGTCTGATGCACCAAACTTCGCCACATAGTAAAACCATCTCCATCTCCGTTTGTATTGGGTCCCAGCTGATATTTTAGAATCTCAGTCAACTAACATATGTTATACCGAAGAAAGGACAAATAAGGAAAAGGCCAAAAATGCCAATCAGCTTTTAACTAACTTCAGTAAATGGCAGCTTATAATGTTCAAAATGCATGATATGCAGTTTAGGAAGGAGTTTTTGCAACTGAAAATTTCAACCTCACACTACTACGTCAGGTTATTGGAAGTCCGAAACTAAGGGATTGAATTTCTACCACTTCATGGGGATACAATTGATTGTTTCATAGTTGTCATTAAATCAGTAAAAGCAGATAATAGCAATAAGGTCGCCTACCAGAATAAAGTGGTGGGAAAGGGGTGGAAGACGTAAACAGGGAGATGAAAGAGAGAGAATACTACACCTTTATCATACTTTCTTCCATATGTTCATAGGTGCTATAAAACCGCCTCGCATATATAGGATCGTGAAGTTCCACGGCTACATACCACCGGAGAAAACTAGCTAACTCAATGTTGCATAATGCTGCCAATGAGAAAATGGATCCAGATAAATGCTTAGATTAACAAGAACCTCTTGTGTTTCATCAAATAAATATTTTATGCACCAAGCTTACAGCGTTGCACAAGGAAATGACTCAGGCGAGACTTGTCAGTACGCTCAAAACGAAGAGCTTGTACCAACTGCAGCAGGTAGCACTGGAGCTCATCATCATCAGCTCTTTCAAGAACACTCACGGCATATGCACGGACCTACAAAGGAGTTCAAATTACCAATTCAATATCTACAATGATTTAAATTTTCAGCTAACATTTTAGATGTAAAAATTCGACCTATCAAAACATAATTACAGTACGGTTAAGCCAAAAGGCAAATCCCTAGTTCAATTTAGATATGGAAAAATCATTATACGCATAGAATAACCGAGATTGCAATGTTTGTGAAAGAGTAAAGTTGGAGAAGGCAAAGATAAGATGAAAATGATTGTAACAAAGATCAGGAAGAAATTAATAAGCTTGCTGATTTGATCAATCATCTTTGATAAATGAAGAATACAAGCCTTGCACAGGCCTGTGCTTAGCATTATTTAGGCTATGCTCTCAGATGACATTGAGTTAGTGACGCTAAAATGCAAATGAAAAATTTACAAACAAACATCAGCAATTAACCTCTTCACTCTCAAAGACCGGGGATAGAAGCTCCAATGCATCAGCAACGTCAATTGTTTCCCACTTTCCCATCAGTTCTAATGCTTGCTTTGCTTCCTGCAACAAACAACAAATTAGTCCCTAACAAAATATTCCCCAAGAAGTTATTGAGAAGATTGACAGGAAGAAATAGAGAGAGAGAGAGAGAGAGAGAGAGAGAGAGAGAGAGAGACACCAATTGACAACCAACATACATGGGGAAAAAAAAAAAAAAGAAAAGAAAAGAGGAGGATAGATAAATAGGATTTTTCTTTGGCGCCTTACCTGAACATCACTCCATTCGACACAACGCAAAAATTTAGTCAGGGCTCTTTTCTCAGACATCAAGGAAAAACGAAATTTCCAGAGGAGCTGCTTCTCTTCCCCAGTTAAAGTCCTTGTTGGCGGATATCTTAATATTCTTTGTATGGACCTAATACATATCAGAGAGGCTAGCTGAGTAGATTATTATCGAACTCCACATAGCACAGTGAAGGGTGAGTTCAAAACACTAACTTCTCTAGAAACTACTATTTCACAAATTTCATTAACATAAAGCATTAATCAGCAAAATAGGTACAAAGTGGAGAGCTGACATTCGGAAGTGGTACGAATAGTAACAATGAAGCTTACTTCCTTTCTGTAGAGCTGGGTTTAAGATCCCTATCAATGATGCCACGATTTAAACTTCTCGCCAGCTTGAGTTGCTTGTGCTCAGAGGGGTTAATTTTTCCTACTTCAGGGTCCCACACTGTAACCAGCTCGTTTCTTGAAGCTATAGGGGATGGAATTAAGAAGTTTGCTCCAGACTCCTATATGCCGAAATTATATTTGAGATTGAATTCAATATGCATCTAACAAGCACTTAGAAAGACTAACATACTTATTCATTAAGTCTTACAAGGATGACAAATGAGTACAGAAACATTGGAGTACCTGGAAAACAACTCGATGCTCAAAGCTGCAGAAATCGACAATGACATACAAATGGGAACTCCCATTTTTAATGCTTTCTCGTTCTTTAATTTTCTCCATGGCTTTGAATGCAAGCCGGTCCAGCCAATCAATTCTTTGAATTTGTCCTCTTTCATACTTGTTCACAAGTTTTTCCAGTCGCTCTAACTCTCCTCTCTCCTCCTTAGGAACCTATCAAAACTCAAGACGTGACGGTGACAAAACAAAAACAAATATGTTATGCAGCAGAATAACTGCATAGAGATGATGAAAATACGAATACCTTTCCAGGAGTAGTTGTGTTTATAGAGCCATCTGCTTCTTTGCCTGCCCAAAGCCTAAGCTTATGTTTCCCGGTCTTGAGCTGTTTCTTCACGTTAAAAAGATGAATGGTTGCCCCACCAACTACTTCCTCATTTTTCCCACATGAAACATCATACACCTATACATTAATATATATATATATACCTTTTTCTTATGGATTGTTAAACAAGAGAACAATTTAACCCAACTCGGAGACAAAGAAAAGCACTTACAGTAAAAGCAAGCTGTGTATTTGATGTCAAGTCGCGATATTTAGTACTCAATGTAATAAGTTCATTCCAACAATACAATGGTCCGACGGATTCCAACCTACTCACACCAATAACCAACGGAAACACCTGTACTATCAACAAACAATTTTGAATTTATAAAAAATACTAATAAAAAAAATCATGAGCAATGACTAAACCTTGTTCTCATCGGGAGTCCAAATGGTGCACCATCGATATACAACAAACACTCGACGAACAGCTCCGGTTTGCATTCCTCTAGTCCACTTTCTCCATCAACTAAACAATCCAATCAAAAGTGCAGCAATCATCGTCTGACCAAATAGTTTCAGCACATTGGTAGAAGCCTACTTCATACTATAGCAATTAAACAATCCCAAATTCCCCCAAAATTTTGCAATTATCGCCATCAACATAAGTATTCCAAACAAGACCATCACAATACTCAGAAAGTCAACAGCAGCTTCTAAAAAATGACTATTTTTTTCAGTAAATACACTACCCCTAGCCATATTGCAGAACCCTCATCAACAAACTAGCAAGCTACAAAATTTCAAATTCAAATAACTGCATTCATCACAAACAACATAACAATTTCAAACAAGCCCCCAACTGGCAGCAACTATATCAAATTTTTTGAAGAAATAAAGGCGTAATTCTACAAAGAAGTGCAAATTTTGAATCTGACCTGAATCAGCAGACTTCCGGGGAGACAATTTCCCTTCCAATCTCTCGATTTTGAAGGTAACCGGCAGATTAATATCGCACGACAGAAAAAACCGAAATTCGTTTCCCGTCATCGCCCTAAATTCAGAAAAATCACGAAATTTGAGTTGAATACTTCATGATTTCGTTCCCTTTCACCGGCGAATTAACAGAGATTTATTCAGCAGCGGAACCAATCATCGGCTTTGGGCCGTAAGAAGAAAAGAAAAAGGTATATATTATAAAATTTTAAAAAAAAGAAATAATCATTAAAAAAAAATTAATAATAACAGGGCCGTTTAGATTGAAGGTGGCAGAAGCCAAAATAAAGGCTGTTGGATTTTATGTAGCATTTTTTATGAAAAATTTGTTTGGATATAGTGTTTTAAGCTGTTAAAATGACCTAATCGTAAATATATTTTGTTATTAAACTTTTTTATTTTATTTTAAAATTTTATAAATTAGATTTAAAAATTTTAAATGATTCAACCTAATTAAAAAATATCTATTAAATTTTATGTATAAATTATTTTTAAATATTTTAAATTCTAATTTAAATATAAGATATAAATTATATTTTAAATTTATATAAATTAATTATTTTTATTTTTGATTTATTTTATTATTATTATTATAATTATTAAGAATGATAAAATAGTAACTTATGTTTTAACTTTTTTTCAAAAGCACCTGTTTTTTAAAAAAAATACTTTTGAAACTGCTTTTAAGAAGAAGTTAATATAAATACGATTTTAAATGATTTTTAAGAAATAAGAGTCAAAAGTCTTTTATTCAAAATAATTTATTGGTATTTAGACTAAGGCTTTGTTTATTTTGTGAAAAAAATAATCACATATTTCTCAAAAAAAACATATTTATTATTTGTATATTAGTTACCTCACTTAATTTTATTTTTTTTTTCCGAAACCATTTTATACAAAAAAACAAACCCTAGGTATTTGGGGTTTATGATTTAATAAAATTGTCAGTAATATAAAATAATTATATTTTATGTTAAATTATTAAATTTTATATGAGTGTAATATATATATATATAGTGTGTTCGTTTAATAAAGAAATACATACACTTTTTTTAATATTTATATTTTTCACATTAAAAAAGAATTTATTAAAATTATCTCACAAAACAAACCCGCTTAGTATCCAAAGATACCCAAATGATTATTTTGAATTGTTTCCTAAATAATAAAATAATTTTTAATTTTGATGTTTAGACATGAAAGTATATATATTGATATTATTTTGGTATATCAAAAGAAAAAAAAAAAATTATATTTTAAATAATTACAGTAATAATTTGTTACAAATAATTTATATTTATATGTTTAAATTTTTAGTAGTGGTATAAATACATAAACCAATAATTTATCTAAATACGAAATTATTTAATTTAAAATTAATTAATATAGTATGTATTTCATATTTCATTTATAAAAATATTAAATGAATAAAAAATATACTACTCTATTACAACTGTTACATTGAATAAACTCAAATATTAATTTTCTAATACACATTTTTTATCCAAAAGATTGTGGCATAATTGAATGTGATATAGGGTATATATATACTATCTTATCTTTATCTTTATCTTATATTATCTTTATCTTTTATAAATATATATATACACTAGCGGAATACCGCACCATGCAATTAAGGAAAAAATAATAATTATATATTTTTTATTTTATAGTAATTTTTTTATATATTACATATATTTTTAATCGCTGTTAAAAATAAAATAATATCAATAAATTATACTATTTTTGTCCAATTATAAAGTAAATATTTACTTTTGAAACGAAATTTGAGAAATAATAATAGTATTTTAATTATAGTAGGTAGCTAAAATAATGTAATGATATTTTTTGTGTAAAAATAATAATGTGAATTAAAGTAGAAATATTTATAAAAAAAAATAAGATATTTAATAAAATAATTAGTTTGTAATTAAATATCTCAAAATAGAGCTGAACAGGGAGTAGTATATATATCATATAAGAATTCATGTTATATAAAAAATTTAAATTGTATTTGGTTGTAAGCTTTAAATTTTAATAGGTTTTTTTACTATTTCTATAAAATTTCTATAAAAAAATATTAAATTAAATATTTTTATTTTTTATTTATATTATATTAAAATCTAATATTATCAAAATATTAAATAAACGTATATTTTATATTAATAAAAAAAACTATTTATATTAAAATTTTATTATTTAATTTAAATTAAAACCTATGACAAAACACATTTAAGTTTGAAAAAAGTTGTTAAGAATTTATGATCAAAAAATTCAATCAAGTTAATTTATTACTTACATTTTACATTATACAAAATGCATAGTTAAGTATGGTTTTCAACACACTTATTGAACTTATTAATAAAAAATAAGGTAAAATAGCCAAACAAATCCCCTTTTGGTTTGCTAATGTTGCTGAAAACTCCCTATGGTTTTAAAATTCTAATTTACCTATCTATGGTTTATAAAACATTGCATGTTCGCCTCACATTCAAAATTGGATTGACGGCGTTAAACTTTTTAATATTGACCATTATATCCTAACTCTTTCTTCATTATACAGACATCTGGAGACTCCTCTACTGCTCTATTCGCCTAGCTTCACCAGTTTAATTGGTTGTTTGCTTAGGGATTGTAGTATCCTGCTGGTTTTCTTAAAGTATATTCTCTTAAATTTTACCGAAAACTATAAACAATCTAATTGTGGTTATAAAATAATTTTATTAATTAATCATCTCCTAATTATACGCATACATGTATTTAAACGTATATATATGAATGTACATATATGATTGAGGAGAGGGAAAAATAGAGAAGTGGTCTGAGTTAATTTATTGAGTTAAAATAAGTTAAAAATCCTAGTCAAGGAAAAAGAGTACGTCATTCAGGCATTAAAAATACTTCCCCTGATGTGGACATCACTTGAAATATTGTTCCACCTGATGTGGACATCATTTGAATCTTGCAACCGACGCATTCTAATGATCTTTACTAATTTCTCGAACGTTGCGGTTGGTAAAGCCTTGGTCAACAAGTCTGTTAAATTTTGGTCTGATCGAATCTGCTGCACATTTATTTCACCATTTTTTTGGAGATTATGAGTAAAAAAAAAATTTCTTTGAAATATATTTCGTTCTATCTCCATTGATATATCCTTCTTTCAGTTGTGCTATATAAGCTACATTATCTTTATACAAAATAGTAGGAGGATTATCATTTTCAGATTTTAAACCATAATTCTGTAAAATATGGTGAATTATTAATCTTAACCAAACACACTCTTGACTAGCCTCATGAATTGCTATTATTTCCACATGATTTGAAGATGTGGCGGTTAATGTTTATTTAGTGGATCTCCAAGATACCACTGTACCGCCACAAGTAAACATATAGCCAGCCAGAGACTTGGCTTTATGCGGGTCAGAAAGATACCCAACATCTGCATATCCAATCAATTCATGTCGAGATCCTTTTGGATATAATAGGCCGAGATCAATAGATCATTGGAGATAATGAAGAATATGTTTGATTCATTTCCAATGTCGTTGTGTTGACATTGCATTAAATTTGGCCAATAAATTTACAGCAAATGTTATATCTGGTCTAGTACTGTTAGCCAGATACATTAGTGCACCAATAACACTTAAATATGGTATTTCAGGACCAAGTTCTTCCTCATTCTCCTCGTTTGGTCTAAAAGGATCTTTAATAGGATCGAAAGTTCTAACGACCATTGGAGTACTTTATGAATGTGTTTCATCCGTTGCAAATCGTTTCAATACCTTCTGGGTATTTGCAGATTGATCTATCAAAATCCCATTATACAAATATTCAAATTATAGACCAAGACAAAATTTTGTTCTCCCGGAATCTTTAATTTCAAACTCTCTTTTCAAATATTCAATAGTTTTTTGGACCTTTCCAAGTGTTCCAATTAAATTCAAATCATCCACATAAACAATTATTATTACAAAAATTCTCTCATATTTCTTTATAAAAACACATGGGCAAACAAAATCATTTGCATATCCTTATTTCAATAATGATTCACTGAGACAATTATACCACATGCGACCAGATTGCTTGAGCCCATATAAAGACTTTTGTAATTTAATAGAATAACATTCTTTTGGTTTTGATTTGTATGCATCAGGCATACATAATCCTTCAGGGATTTTCATGTAAATATCACTATCCAATTAGCCATATAAATATGCAGTTAGAACATCTATCAGACGCATATCCAAATTTTCATGTACTGTCAAATTGACAAGATATCGAAATGTTATTTCATCCATTGCTGGAGAATATGTTTCATTAAAATCAACTACAGGTCTTTGTGAAAAACCTTGAGCAACAAGTCTTGCTTTATATATAAAAATTTCATTATTCTCATTTCGCTTCGAATAAATACCCATTTATAGCCAACAGACTTAACACCTTTAGGTGTTTGAACGATGGGTCCAAAAACTTTCTGTTTTGCCAGTGAATTTAATTCAGACTGGATCGCATCTTTCAATTTTAGCCAATCTATTTTTTTCCGACATTCATCAACTGATCTAGGTTCTGGATCTTCATCATTTTCCATTAGATCAAGTGCTACATTATATACAAAAGCATTATCCATAATTGTATCATTTTGATTTCAATGTTTTCCAGTAGTAACATAATTTATTGAATTTTCAATAATTTCATTCTCTTTAGAAAAAATTCTATTAGCATTAATATTCTCAGCAAGTTTATCAGGATCAATTTCTTTAGAAATCTAATCCATGTTACTACCTGTTTTTTGAGGATTTTGATTAACATTCAAATCCTCAATACTTTCATTTGTTCATCTTTTCTTTCGAGAATTTTTTATCTTTGGAACCTATAGGTCTGCGACGCTTTAAGCGTACATTTGATTCATTAGCACTTTGTATTTTATCTCCAGGAATAACAATTTTAGCAAGTACCTTTTCAGCAGCTATATAAAATCTAGTAACCCTGCTGGCATCACAAAAAGCATAAGGCAATTGATTTGCTATTCGCTGCAAATGTAAAATTCTTTACATCTCTAATTCACTTTGACTTGTACGAGGATCAAGAAAATTGAATGGTATTTTCCAAGTAATTTCCTTTTTCAATTGATCAGTTTTTCCCCCTAATGTCGGGAAATGCGACTAATCAAAATGACAATCAGC